TGCTCTTATCTGCCATTGCTACTTGTTTGAAATTCCTCCTCGTTTACTCACCGACCAGTTTCGTATTTGCACTCCAATTGCCATTTCCTCCTCACATCTCACCTCTCTCTTGACCAAACTATGTAATTTTTTTCCTGTGTTATTTTCATTACTGTGTATTGTTCATTTTCTTTGTTTTTGTAAGTAAGGTGTACCCTGAAGATGGCGCTCATGCCGAAATGCATTAGAATGTAAGTAGATTAATCAATAACAATTTTGGAATTTCATTCATCTAGGCTACTCTTGCCAAGTCACATCCAAAGTTTCCTAATTAGAAACATAGTTTTTCATCCAGGAACGGTACAATTTTCTAAAATTTGCAAATCGTCGCAAAATGCGTCCATTGTGCTAATGTAATTCCATGCACTGGTCAATCATGATTAGATCCTATATTTATCGTTCTTAAATGATTCGTCATATAGTAATCACTTCCGTTTAATTCATTATATCTGAAAACAATGGTACTAATTATTCAGAAATTAACAAAAACGATTCGTTTTTTTCTGCACTATCCAGCGCAAACAGAAATGTCTCTAGATGCTACGGCTTTAAGCGGTTGAAATTTCAGTAGTGGGACAGATTTGGTTCCCCCGACTAACACAAGTTAGTCACTAAATGTGGTCCCTGTTCAAATTGATTTAGGGCTTTCTCACACTTATGATGACGTGACGATAGCACAAACACGTCTAGTTCACGTACACAAACTGGGCATACAGGCCACAGGCATGACAAAAAAAGGAAAGTAACGACATCATAAAGGCTAAAATAGCATTACCATTGAAGCCCTTGATAATATTGAAGCACATCCATTACTTGAATATCAGTGAAAAATATTCGTTTTAACATACTAACGTAATCCAAAACGATGGAGTTGTGAAAGTCAAGAAATCATTTATGGATAGATGGCTTTCGATGTAAGTAATGGTAAATTAAAATCAATCTGGTTTTCGGCCAAGGTAGAACTACACTGGAAAAATAGCTTTCCTTCATTGTCAGTGAAAGTTTTAAAAATTCCGTTGCATGTTTGAGTTTGCTTATTTAGTGTTCGACCTCTCTCACGCTGAAAATGGGGTAAACAGGGACAGCCAGATACGAAGATTTGCTCGTATTAACACCTGGGAGCAGGAGATTTTCTACTCAGCCTTATCCTCAGGCCGTATCCGCAACTCTGCATTCTGCATCTCCTCTTTTGAGTTGATCTATCACCTCATGTTCTATCTCTTCTCATATTACGTGAGAACCACCCCTCCCATCGTCTCATGCATCAAGTATCATCAGGAGAAATTCGACCTGCGGAGTGCTTTTCTTGACGAACCTAGTGCCGCTTAAGTGAGCTTCTGCAGTTTCAATCATCGTTTTTCTCCCTTCTCTTCGAATTATTTCACACATCTCGCTACTCCTTTTTACTCTCATTGTCAAGTGTGTCCTTTCTTCATCTAATTACTTTTGATTTTAAGAGACGAGAGTTAAATGTGGTGTGTGGGTGATTGTTTTGATTCTGCAAGCTTGAGGTCTGCTGGAAAAGCAAAAAATTGATGTTTTTGCTTCCATGTTGTACACAAAATGTATTTGACTTATTGGTGTTTCTGTGTCGTGTATGATAACCTGGAAGTTTTGATGTCGGTGTTGATCTTTGAGTATTTTCATCCCTGAAACTTTTTCTATAGAGTGAACATAGGTGACTCTCAAGAGGATTAAGTGTCCTCTTTCCATTGAAAATCGAAAATCTCTCTGGACATAAAAAAATTAGGATAAAAATTCCTAAAAATTTCACTTCGTGTTATAAGAAGTTTCATTATCAAACAATGGGATAATGTAAGTGGCTGTATTCCATCCGTGATTGATTTCATCTATAGGCAATATCCTTAAGATAAATGAAAGTTAAGGATCTCTTCTAATTTAAAAAAAAGAAAAACATCGTCAATTGCCGCTACTTTTGCATCATACAAGACGGAGAATTTTCAGTTCTAGGTATGCATCCTCAAATATTTCATGACGGAGAATAATGATAGATACTTAATTTTAAAAAGAGGTATTAAAGGACCGGTTTAGGATTTTTATTTTATGTATGAGTCCTAAACCTATTGTAATATTTAAAGCTACATTCAATTCACTCAATTGTCTTTGTCAGTAATTTCTCAGTTTGTCTCTTTTCACATCAATGGCGTCTCCAAGAAGGAGCAAAGTAAATTAAAATCACTCCGTCAAAGTGCTACCTACGATCAAATGTGCATTTATCGAAATAGAAATTACAATGGTGAGGGAACAAAAAAAAAAAAAAAAAAAAAAAACCCTTTACGAGTTCCACAGAATAATTTCGACTTCCCATTTTTTAATTTTTAGCTCCGATCGCACTACTAAGTCCTAATCTGTAATTTGCGTTTGGTGGGGAAAAAATCGTTCCCAAAAAGCAGTTATAGGTACATTTTTCTGCTGCTCTCTAATACTTACCAAAAAGTGACTCGTCCTCTGTCAACCCTACTCAATGCAATTAAGAGGACAAAAAACGCAGGGTCTTGAAATCTCTTTCACTCTCAAGACCATATTCCTTAGAACTTCACTGTTATTTGCCCTTTCAACTCTGCTCCTCGTAATATCACCCAAAATGTCGTTAACGGTGTTTTAGTTTACTTAGTTTGTGTTCAACTCGAAGTTATGACTTAAAAGGATGAGAAAGCGGACAGGAATAGGAAAAATTGGGATTGTTTAAGTTAAGCAACAGAAAGATGGAAGAATTTTAGGGAGAAACGCGGAATTATCTCTGACTTGGGGACGGAAAGTTACAGCGTTGATATAAGAATAAAGCTGTAACACTTGTTGTTCAGAGGACTTTACTTTCCGTTTCATAGTTCGATATTTCTCTCCTGGTGGCTGTTACGGTCCTTTAGGTACGTTATACCGAGCCGCTTTTTGACTACAAGAAGGGGCGCCCCCGAGAGAAACCAATCCTCACAAAGTTACGATGACACCAACTCAAATTGTATCCCTAATAAAAATGCACCACACTGATGTCAGTCTGGCATGAAGTCACTGTTATGTCAAACTGAATCAGAGTGCTTTATGAAACATACCCTTAGTTACGATGAGTCAACCTGAAAGAATGACGGTGGCATTGCCATTTAAGGACCGCCAAAGGTATAATTTCAGGATTTAGGGCTTCGTTACGGTGATTATATCGGAAGCAAAAACAGGCTAATTTTTCTCTTATTGAGTATTAGGGTTCAAACTCAACTGAGTTCTTATTTGATGTGCCTACTTTGCCATCATTTATAATACAGGGTTATCAAAAAGTCACCTACCACCCCTGTAACTTTTTTCCTAATTGATATAGAAGTTTGAAACTTTGGGAATGTTCCTCGGTCTAAAGTAGCAACTTTCGGTCCCCCCCAAAATTTTGGGGGGCGCGGGCCAGCTTTTTTTTTTCAAATGGCAACCCCTCTTTTGTGATACCTCATTCGAAAGATATTAAAAAAGGAAAAATTTTGGCGCAAACCGCAGGTCAAAATGTTGATTTTTGACAAAATGGCGACCGGTCAAAGTTTAAAATAGTGGAAATTCGGCATCTCCGTTCTTTATCGGCGGATTGGTCTGGAACTCAGAATCCGAGGGTTTCGTGACGAGAAAAATGACCCTGGCATTAGTTTTCCAGAAAAGTCTGTCTTTTCTAAAATGGCGGTGGTTAAAATGGCGGCTTAGAGCGGGAATTGGATATTTAGGCTGCTTATCTTTGGATTTGTGTGAGACTTGGTTTCCGGTGGTATTTCGGCATGGGAAGAACGATTCTTTCATTGGATTTTTGAAATTTCGAGAACTTTAACATGGTGGCGAAAAAATGACGGGAAATCCATATCACGGCTCTTTACCCATGGATTTGCACGAAAGTCGATACTCTGGTGGTTTTTGGTTCGAAAGAAATGAATCTTTCATTAGATTTTTTAAATACTAAATACTTTAAAAATGGCGGCGGAAAAATCGGTGTTATGGCAATTCACCGATGGACTTTAATTAAACTCGTTAAAGAAGGTTTTTTTGCTCGAGGATAATGAATCTCGACGATAACACCGATTTTTCCGCCGCCATTTTTAAAGTATTTAGTATTTAAAAATCTAATGAAAGATTCATTTTTTTTCGAGCCAAAAACCACCAGAGTATCAACTTTTGTGCAAATCCATGGGTAAAGAGCCGTGAATTGTATTTCCCGTCATTTTTTCGCCGCCATTTTAAAGTTTTCGAAATTTCAAAAATCCAATGAAAGAATCGTTATTTTCATGCCGAAATACCCCCGGAAACCAAGTCTCATACAAATCCAAAGATAAGCAGCCTAAATATCCACTTCCCGCCCTAAGCCGCCATTTTAACCACCGCCATTTTAGAACAGACAGACTTTTCTGGAAAACTAATGCCAGGGTCGTTTTTCTCGTCACGAAATCCTCGGATTCTGAGTTCCAGACCAATCCGCCGATAAAGAACGGAGATGCCGAATTTCCACTATTTTGAACTTTGACTGGTCGCCATTTTGTCAAAAATCAACATTTTGACCTGTGGTTTGCGCCAAAAATTTTCCATTTTTGATATCTTTCGAATGAGGTATCAGAGAAGGGGGTTGCCATTTAAAGAAAAAGTTAGCCCCCGCCCCCCAAAATTTTGTGGGACCAAAAAGTTGCTACTTTAGACCGAGGAACATTGCTAATGTTTCAAACTTCTATATCAATTAGAAAAAAGTTACAGGGGTGGTAGGTGACTTTTGGATAACCCTATATACGATATCCCGCGAAGATGAGCATTTCAGAGTGTGATGAAAGAGCAGCGGCTACCCTTCCTTCTCAGTTTTAAAACTGAACATCATTGAATGGGGTTGAAGATGATGCTAGGTTCGGAGTGAGCATTCCTAAATCCTCTTCAAGGGTCCCTCTTTTCGAGGGCCGGTTGGTTGGCCATGAGTGACATGGTGGTGTTTGCAGGTGATTGCCGTAATATCCATCCTGTTCATCGTGCTCTCGACGATCGCGTTGACACTGAACACGATCCCACAGATGCAGGTCTTTGACGAGAAGGGGGTTGTGCAGGACAACCCTCAGCTGGCTATGGTAGAAGCGGTCTGCATTACGTGGTTCACTCTCGAGTACGTTCTCCGCTTCAGCGCCTCGCCGAATAAATGGAAGTTCTTCAAGGGGGGCCTCAACGTCATCGATCTGCTGGCTATCCTCCCGTACTTTGTCTCTCTTTTCCTGGTCGAGACGAATAAGAACGCCAACGACCAATTCCAGGACGTGCGGCGCGTTGTTCAGATTTTCCGAATTATGCGGATCCTAAGGATATTGAAGCTGGCCCGACACTCCACCGGGCTTCAGTCATTGGGTTTCACACTGAGGAACTCGTACAAGGAGTTGGGGCTGTTAATGTTATTCTTGGCCATGGGAGTGCTCATATTCTCGAGCCTGGCCTACTTTGCTGAGAAGGAAGAGCCGGGAACAAAATTTATCTCTATCCCGGAGACTTTTTGGTGGGCGGGAATTACAATGACAACTGTAGGGTACGGTGACATCTACCCCACCACTCCACTGGGGAAGGTGATTGGTAGTGTTTGCTGTATCTGTGGGGTCCTGGTTATTGCGCTGCCTATCCCCATTATTGTCAACAACTTTGCCGAGTTTTACAAAAACCAAATGCGTCGCGAGAAGGCTCTCAAGCGCCGCGAGGCCCTGGAGCGCGCCAAGCGGGAGGGTTCTATTGTCTCCTTCCACCACATCAACCTTCGGGACGCCTTCGCCAAGAGCATGGATCTCATCGATGTTATCGTCGATACAGGTAAGAATCAGTCCTATACCCTCTACATTTACTAGAGACAAAACTTTTTAGATTGTTTACGAAAGTTCTTTGCAGCAAAAGCTTGTTCGACGGGAGGGGCTTAGAAAACATTTGTGAAAGTAAAATAATTGCACAGTTGGAAGAAAAATGAAAGAAAAAACTTGTCACAGGGAATAAGTAAGTAAAGTATCATTCTCTAACAATTGTTTCATATTTTCACATGACCGCGTTCCCTAATGAAAAAGGAGCATAATGATGTTAAGTCATAGCGACATCACCATGCCTTATTAGACATAACAGTCCTAATGACGTCATTATGACATCATAATGTCGGAAATTGTTTTTGTAATGTCACTAAGACGTCATTGAAACTCTACACGGTGACCCAAAAGTCTTAAGTAACTTCTGATCGGATGGAGATGGAGACTTGAAATTTTGACAGTGCTGCTGTGTTTATGTAAATTACTTTTTTGACC